TGGCCCCTAAAGTGGTTCAAATATTGCCCATGAACCACAGGCTGCCACTATCACCACAGGCCTAAGAGGCAGGGCTGGATCCTCCTCCATTTCAAAGGGTGAGACCTCTTAATTCAGGGGAGGCCAGGATCCCACTGCCCAGTACCTCAGGGACAAGGCTGAGGTCCAGTGCCATGGGGGTGACAGTGCCATCCAAGTGGGCCTGAAGGGCATAGCATCAAATCAAAAAGAATTCTAGAACCTTAAGACCAAATGGGATTTGCCTTGCCAGGTTTGGGAACTTGATTGAAACTTGTCATCCCTTTTTTCTTTCTTGTTTCTCCTTTCTGAGATGGAATGTCTTTCCTATGCCCATCCCATCACTGTGTTTTGGAAGTGCATATTGTCTGATTTCATAGGTCCACAGCTGGAGAGGAATTTTGCCTCAGGATGAATGTTACTAAAAGTTTCAGCCATACCTGATTTATGCTTAAATTAGGTTTTGGATTTTGGACTCTGGAGTTGATACTTAAACAAGTTAAGACTTTTAGTGTTGTTTGGCTGGAATGGAATATATCTGCATGTGACAAGAACATGGATTCTGGCAGGCCATGAAGAGTATGTTATAGATTGAATGCATGGGCTCCCCACTTTAAAATTCACATTTTGAAGCCCTAACCCCCAGTGTGGTTATATTTGCAGTAAGACAGTAATTAAGATTAAATTAGGTAATAAGGGTGGGGCCCTGATCTGACAAGACTGCTGTCCTTATAAGAAGTGACACCGGGGCTGGGCGTGGTGGCTCACGCCTGTAATCCAAGCACTTTGGAGGCCAAGGTGGGTGGATCACCTGAGGTTGGGAGTTCAAGACCAGCCTGACCAACATGGTGAAACCCCATCTTAAAAAACAAAACAAAAAAAAGAAGTGACACCAGGCCTGGCACAATGGCTCATACCTGTAACCCCAGCACTTTGGGAGGCTGAGGTGGGTGGATCACCTGAGGTCAGGAGTTTGAGACCAGCCTGATCCACATGGAGAAACCCCATCTGTACTAAAAATACAAAATTAGCCAAATGTGGTGGTGCATGACTGTAATCCCAGCTACTCGGGAGGCTGAGGCAGGAGAATCGCTTGAACCTGGGAGGTAGAGGCTGCAGTGAGCCAAGATCGCACCATTGTACTCCTGCCTGGGCAACAAGAGCAAAACTCCATCTCAAAAAAAAAGAGACAACTGGAGAGCATTCATGCTCTTTTCCCTGAGGAAAAGCCATGTGAGGACACAGAAGGAAGGCAGCTGTCTACAAGCCAGAAAGAGAGCCCTCACCAGAAACTGACCCTGTTGGACCTTGATCTGAGACTTGTAGTTTACAGAACAGTAAGAAAAACTTCTGTAGGAAATTTTTATTACATCAGAAAAGTTTCTGATGTTTTGTTGTGGCAGTCTGAACAGACTAATACACTGACAAAAATTAGGAAGCATTGAGGTAATGTGTTGTTAAGCTAATTCCTCATTTTAAATAATAGAGTATAATAAAGTATAATAAAATAATGTCTAAAATATACTGGCTAGCGTTATGATGGTAACCACTAGAAAAACTAAAATTGATTATTAGAAGAAATTGGAAGGGGGTGTCAATGACAAAAAATTTTACTTTTTTTTTTTGAGATGGAGTCTCATTCTGTTACCCAGGCTGGACGGCAGTGGTGCGATCTTGGCTCACTGCAACCTCTGCCACTGGCGTTCAAGCAATTCTCCTACCTTAGCCTCCCGAGTAGTTGGGATTATAGGCGCCTGCCACCATGTCCAGCAAATTTTTGTATTTTTAGTAGAAATAGGGTTTCACCATCTTGGTTAGTCTGGTCTTGAACTCTTGACCTTGTGATCCACCCGCCTCACCCTCCCAAAGTGCTGGGATTATAGCTGTGAGCCACTGTGACCAGCCTACTTTTTTAACCCTTAGTTTTTCTAAAACCATGTATATTAGTTTCATCAACCATTTCAAAAGTTTAACTTTTTCAAAGAACACTTAAAATATCACACCTTCATTTCTTTTTTTTTTTTTTTGAAACGGAGTCTTGCATTGCCACCCAGGCTGTAGTGCAGTGGTGTGATCTTGGCTCACTGCAATCTCCGCCTCCTGGATTCGAGTAATTCTCCTGCCTCAGCCTCCTGAGTAGCTGGGAATACAGGCGTGTGCCACCACGCCCAGCTAATTTTTTTGTATTTTTAGTAGAGACAGGCTTCACCATGTTGGCCAGGATGGTCTTGATCTCCTGACCTTGTGATTCCCCTGCCTCAGCCTCCCAAAGTGCTGGGATTACAGGCATGAGCCACCGCATGTGGCCCATACCTTCAATTCTTAAATTTCAGCATTCAGGGCTGGGCGTGGTGGCTCACACCTGTAATCTCAGCACTTTGGGAGGCTGAGTCACGCTGATCACCTGAGGTCAGGAGTTCGAAACTAGCCTGGGCAAAACTGTGAAACCCTGTCTCTACTAAAATACAAAAAATTAGCTGGACATAGTGGTGGACACCTGTAATCCTAGCTACTCGGGAGGCTGAGGCAGGAGAATCACATGAACCCAGGAGGTGGAGATTGCAGTGAGCCTATATTGTGCCACTGCACTCACTCCAGCCTGGGCAACAGAACAAGACTCTCCATCTCAAAAAAAAAAAAAAATTTTTTTTTCAGTCATTCAGATCTATTTGTATGATTTTTGCTATATTAATCCTTGCCAATTTTAAACCAACATTTTTAATCTAAATCAATTTATTTTACTTTTATTTATTTATTTATTTATTTGAGATGGCGTTTCTCCATGTTGGTCAGGCTGGTCTTGAACTCCTCACCTCAGGTTGTCCACCCACTGTGGCCTCCCAACGTGCTGGGATTATAGGCGTGAGCCACTATGCCCGGCCACATTTTACTTTATTTTTAACTTCAACCGCAGATACTTATATATTCCAATACATTAAAAATATATAATTATTACAAATGCTCACCCATGTAATACCCAAAATTATCTCATGTTCCAGGAGTGGTAGAGGGGTTACACTTTGAAAAACATGACTAGATGTAAAATTTTATTATTTGTCTTGATGGCTTAAAGACATTAAATATATATGAGAAAATGAATTCCTGTCTTTTAAAAAATAATTAAGTCTCTCCACGAGTTACACCACTGATAGAATTTTTTTTTTTTTGAGATGGAGTTTCGCTCTTGTTACCCAGGCTGGAGTTCAATGGCGCGATCTTGGCTCACCGAAACCTCTGCTTCCTGAGTTCAGGCAATTCTCCTCCCTCAGCCTCCTGAGTAGCTGGGACTACAGGCACGTGCCACCATGCCCAGCTAATTTTTTGTATTTTTAGTAGAGATGGGGTTTCACCATGTTGACCAGGGTGGTCTTGATCTCTTGACCTCGTGATCCACTCGCCTCGGCCTCCCAAAGTGCTGGGATTACAGGCATGAGCCACTGCGCCCAGCCACCACTGATAGAATTTTAAGAGCATCTGAGTATTTGGATTTCCCATTTTAGAATGATTACTTTAAATATAACCTGAAAATATTTCACGTAGCTAAAAGTTAAAAATTTTAAACTTTTAGTGCTGTTAAAACCAAATGCTGTTTAAAAAAAAAAAATCCAGAAACTGAACTTTGTCATATAAAATGGGCTTAGCTAAATAAAACAATATAAATGCCTTTTTTAAAAAGTCATAGGGCCAGGTGCAGTGGTTCATGGCTGTAATCCCAGCACTGTGGGAGGCCAAGGTGGGCAGATCACTTGATGGTTAGGAGTTCAAGTCCATCCTGGTCAACATGGTGAAACCCCCAGCTCTACTAAAAATAAAAAAATTAGCCAGGCTTGGTGGTGAGTGCCTATTAATGCCAGCTACTCCAGAGGCTGAAGCAGGAGAACTGCATGAACCCAGTAGGTAGAGGTTGCAGTGAGCCGAGATCACACCACTGCTCCCAGCCTGAGTGACAGAGTAAGACTCCATCTCAAAAAAAAAAAAAATCAAGTTGTCCAATGCATCAATTTGTTCAACTAAAGTTTAACCAGTACCTACATGCATTCCACCCTGCTAATTACTGGAAATGCAAAGACAGATACAATGTATCTAAAATTTGGAACATGTCTGTGTAAGAATTTAAAACATAAGGAAATGCCCCTAAATATAATAACAAGTTGAATTAAAACTGTTCAGCTCTCAGTTACTTGAAAACTAGTAAAAAGATGTAACTTTGGCCACAACCTTTAGTAAAATTTAGAGACTTACTTCTCTTTATAGTCTTGTTTTAAAAAGCATAATACACTACCTCAAGTATGCCCTATGCATTCATATTTGTTTGTAGAATAAATATGTTATGGTCCATTTCTCATCACTCTATCTCCGTAATGCAGTTCTTTTATTTTAAATGTCTAAAACACATATTTTTTTGATAAGGGAGAAAACACTGAACACATATTCACAACACAGATGAAAATATTTTTCATCCACCTATACCCACCCTTCTTAAAGCATGCCTTCAAACCCCCATTTGCATGGCTCCTTTGCTAACTTTTAGCCGTTTCCTCTTGTAAATGTACTGGCCTCTTTGTCTGAAGGCATCTGTCTCAATCAACATTTCATTTCTTACTGGAGCAAGGGCAGGGAGCTCTCCAGTTCATTTAACCTTAAATGAAGGAAGAGGCCCCTCACAGCTACTAAATTAGCCTTCTGGTACCCTTAGCAGAGTCTGCTATCCCAGAGCTGCAGAGTCTACCTGGGTTGGGGGCTAGCTGTTTACCAGGGTTCAGCATCAATCTCAACTGAGCTTCTATACAGCAAGTGGCCTCTCAAATGCCTTAATGGTTTCTGGTTACACCTGGGGAAACAGGGTCCTTAATCCCCTAAAGGAATACTTTTATACTGAGAGTTATGTTTTCCATGTAAAATAAATCACTCATTTAATTAAATAGTTTTATAAAAGAAAAAGTATTTATAAAAGAAAAATTATTATAAATAAATAATAAAACTCATAATGAAATTGAATATTTATTTGAATTTCTCCTGGTAATAGCACTCAACAAATAAGAGAAACCAAGCTGTGAGATTTTGTTTTAAATGTAGCCATTTTCAAAAGGTAAAAAGTTGGTTTCTATATTTAATGGCAAGTGGGACATCTGTTTTTAAATTGACATTCAAAAAGTAGTACAATATACACTATCATGAACATGATGTGTTTTATAGAGTGAAAACATATCTGAATGTGGAAGAAATATATATCTGTTAAAAACCACACTGGAAAAATGTTCTTTTTTTATAAGAAGTAGCTTGAAGTAAAAAGGAACTTGCTAGTAAACCCAGTAAAGTTTCATACATGGGATTTTAAAAAAATCTCCACTCATCCTACCTCTGGAAAAAAAAAAAGAATAAGAAGGAGAAGAAAAGAAAGATAATAAAAAAAAACCATATGGTCCATTTGAGTAGAGCCAATCATTACATGACTGTTCATTCTGTACAATGTGGAAGGCTGGTTATTTAGAAAGCATTTAAGTTCCTAAAGTGCATCTTTTGAAGATGTGTCTATTAAAACTGCAATATCAAATATAAAACACTTAAGACATGCAATAACAAAGCTAAATCATCCAGTGTAAAGTTTTTAAAACTACTTTGAAAACTTGTTTCCCCAAGAAGTAGAGGTGTAACATACAGTAGTATTCTTGTTCTCCAACAGTATGCATTGTATGTTTTTGTTATTTGGCAAATCTTTTGGAGTCGAACAAAAATAATGCAGTCTAAACAATATTTCTTCTGTCATTATAATACGATTCCCGAGCAGAACAGTAAGGTGCAGAGGAAGAGTTAGATTTTTGGAAGTTTTGGTGCATTGACCACAGGATTTGCCTCCTGCAAGTATCTCCTCCCTGCACTCTTGTAATCATAGGTACAGCCATGAGTTTCTGCATAACGATGAGATGCACAGAAGTTGTTTCCACATCTAAAGCACAAAAAAAGTTTACGTGAATAGTTGTATTTCTATGAAAGGCTCATCTCTCTGGGAGCTTGACTTCAGGTATTCCAACAGGGCCCTTGGTTCTTTTTAGCAATTTCAGTGCTTACATTTCCCTTTCATTGGTAAACAAGCATAAATACCCCCCCAAAACAAATTGTCTATGAATATGACAATTTATGATAAAGAAGCCATTATAGAATGAAACAGGGTATAGAACTCTTATCGGTAGTAAAACTGCAAAAAGCTGATAAATATGCCTATGATTTTTCTTATACCTAGTAAACCTGAAAGAATTCTGAATTTCTGAGAAGTTCAGTCTAATGAGAAAATTAAAATAGTAAAATCTATGTCATGAAATGATTTTTAAAAAATATTTCTAGTAACAAGCTGTTTCATTTGAACAGAATATACTCTGAAAAGCAGTGATTGGGCTGGGTGTGGTGGCAGCTCACACCTGAAATTCTAGCATTTTGGGAGGCCAAGGTGAGAAGATCACTTGAGGCCAGGAGCTTGAGACCAGCCTAGGCAATATAGTGAGATCTGTCTCTACAAAAAATTTTAAAATTAACCAGGCGTGGTGGCACATGCCTAGAAGTCCTAGCTATTAGGGAGGCTGAGGCAGGAGGATCGCTTGAGCCCAAGACATCAAGGTTGCAGTGAGCTATGATTGCACTACTGCACTCCAGCCTAAATGACAAAGTGAGACCTTGTCTTTAAAAAAAAAAAAGCCACAGCAGCAGTTATTTTCAAGCCTGGCCTCAATCTAAGGGCAGACATCCAAGATAATATGATATATTATCCTAAAGAATATCAATCAATACTAATGAAATAAATAATTATAGTAAGAAAAATTTTATACTTTTTTGAAAATATACTATTCATCTATTTTATATTGACTTCTAATTTCTTTTTGTTAAATTTTTAAAAGATATTCAGGGAGAGGCTCTTCCAAGGTGCCATTCAAACAAAATCCAAGCAGGCTCATCATAACACAAAAAAGGTACACTCTCAGATTGGTTTAAACCCCCTAAGCCGATTAGTTCAACTGAAGGTAGCTATTTGAACATCATCTTAATGACGTTATCAATAGGCAATTTAAATATTTTATTTTGCATAATCCCCAAGCTGGGTTACCACAGAGAAAGCATCTTGGCCTCTCCAGCTGGCCAACCTGCCTGCATTCGTAGCTAGTAACCAGTCCTGTTTTCTTTCCACAAAGAAAACAATGATTTGTTGTTTTCTTCTTTGTGTGAGGTGGGGCTTTCACAGGTGGGAGGTGATGAGTAGTACATTCTCCTATTTAGAGAAAGGACACCTTGATTAACACAGGCATAAAATCCTAAACATGAAATACTATTAAGCAAAATACAAAACACAGTCCTATCAAGTAAATATCTATGCCATAAAAATTAATTTGTGCTATTTTTGTTTTTTTTTTCTTTTTAAAGATGGGGTTTCACCATGATGGCCTGGCTGGTCTTGAACTCCTGACCTCAGGTGATCCACCCACCTCAGCCTCCCAAAGTGCTAGGATTACAGGCGTGAGCCACCATGCCCGGCTCAATTTGTGCTATTTTTATATCTAAAATTACTTAGAAAGTCTACATGTCAAGTTGCAGTAGAAGTATTTTTTTTTAAGATGTGTTAGGTTTCTACTGATTAGCACTTATTTTTTAAAACTTTTTATCCACACCACTTTTCTGATTTCTAACGGTAATCAGTTCATATAAAGTGCACCAAATTTTGACAGAGAATAAAGAAAAATGTCTGTTTTCAAAATCATATTTGATGAAACTGCTGAGATGATTGCAATACAAACATTCTGTTTGTTCACTCCCAAAAAGGAGTACCAGAGTATCATAAAACATGCCTTTTAGTCCAGTTATACCACAGAAAGTAAGTTCATCAAATCATGAGCAAGTCATTTATTCTTTCAAAATTTCAAGTTATTTTTAAGATAATAGAACATGTATTTTTCTCTCTAGGTTAATAAGTACTTTAAGGTCAACTAGTCCATATATGTAAAAAGCACTCTGAAAGTTTTAAGCATGTTATAATTATATAAAATGTCATATTATAGTGACTAACACAGTACACAGCTCAATTTCACAGTACTACTAGTTTTCCAAAATATTTACTGAATTCTGTACTACTGTAACAACTTGAATTTTTACCTTAAAAATAAGAGCATAATACAAAAAATTAGCTGGGCATGGTGGCGCGTGCCTGTAATCCCAGCTACTCAGGAGGCCGAGGCAGGAGAATTGCTTGAACCCAGGAGGTGGAGGTTGCAGTGAGCCGAGATCATGCCATTGCACTCCAGCCTGGGTAACAAGAGCGACACTCCGCCTCAAAAAAAAAAGGCATATCTGTTATTATATAAGAAAGAATTAAATCAATTTCTTAATGTCTTTTAGAACTGATCAAAATGTCAACAAACCCCAGTCATAAGCAGAGGCTCAAAGTTACTGCCCATAGTTGATAAAGTGACAGTGCAAGTACACAGTGCTTGATGTCACTCAAAGGTTAAGAAGCAAGAGGCAAAGAAAGAATGCAAGAACAAGTGGAAGGAGTGGGGTAAAAATAGTAGTGTCAATGGTGCTGGCACCTTTTCTCCGTCACTGAAAAAGATTTGGGAGGCCTACACTTGTTATTTATTTGGCAGCTAAAAGCCTAAAAATCCTTACAGGGTTCAAAAAATTGGATTTACAATTAATTAGTTTTCTGTCTTTTGCCACAACAGAGATTTTAGGTACTTTGTATGCAAGCCCAGCAAAATTAAGACTTCTTTATTACCAGTCTAAAATACACTCTCAGATCTTGCCAAAACTAGAAACAAAATTTGAAACAACTGAGTGACTCTTAATGGTACCTGGGTACTAACTCAGTTAATAAAGTTTTCTTTTTCAAATGCACTTGGAGTTACCAAGAACATCTCACAAAGGTGATGGGGTAATTCTACCACCTAAAATATTTTTAAAAAGATATCTTGCAGCTGCACAGGACATCAAAGAAAGGCATATGTTACAGGATGTCCAGTGGAAGTTAATCTACTCAAAACTATCTTTAAAATTCAGGCTTAAGATATTCTTCCTTAAACAATGGTGGAAGAATCTCTGATGATAATTTAATTCACTACTGTCACATTTTCATTTTTTTCTTTCCTTTGGAGATGCTTAACTCAATAGTCTCCACACTTTTTCATTCAAGAACTCTTGTGAGGCTGAGCACAGTGGCTCATGCCTATAATCCTAGGACTCTGGGAGGCTGAGGCGGGCAGATCACTTAAGGTCAGGAGTTCGAGACCAGCCAGGCCAACATGGTGAAACCCTGACTCTACTAAAAATAAAAAATTAGCTGGCATGGTAGCACACGCCTGTAGTCCCAGCTACTCGGGAGGCTGAGGCAGGAGAATCACTGGAACCCAGAAGGAGAAGTTTGCAGTGATCTGAGATCGTGCCATTGCACTCCAGCCTGGTCAGGCAACAAAGCAAGACTTCATCTCAAAAAAACAAAAACATTAAAAACTCTTGTGAATGTGTAGAGACCGAGAACACATTAGTGACAGTAATGAGGCAGCACACAAAAATGTAAGTGCAGTCCTCTATGAGCTTCCATACATCCTTCTACCACTCAGAGAAAACTGTCCATTAGTCAACGACTGTGTGCTAGAAACCATTGCTAAACATATTGTTTCCCTACTATAAACAAGAAAAATCTAAATTCCTTGGATTGGCATTTAAGGTATTATTATGCCAATACAATGCCTTTCTAACTATCTGGAGACACTGTAATTTACCACATTGTACCCACCCTGAAGGATGTACCAAGTCCATCTGCATCGGAAGTCTCTTCTAAAATAAACTCTACATTGTCAACCCAGTAGAATTTGACTTATCCTGTAAGACATCCTCAGTTATCAACTCCTCTCTGAAGCCGCCTCTCACATGTGTACTGAACACATGAATAAAGAAAAAAATCCATAAAATCATGTTGATGTGAAGAGTTACTTTTCAGAACAAGATGAAAGACACTTGAGGTAATTAACTTGTTTGCCATTTCCTAGTCTCATATTTGATCTAACACTTAACAGGATCTACAAAAACTGACCCAACAGAAAAGCAGCAAAAAAGTAATAAATTAGTGTTCCAGATGCAAGATTGGTAGTCATCTGCCTAAAATCAATGGCTAAAACTATAAGAATGGATACAGTTTCCAAGGGAGACCTTATAGTGAAAAGAACAGAGGACCAAGGGAGGAATCTAGGAACTCAATTAAATGAAACTTACATTAAAATATATATAGACTCTTCTAGATAATTCAGAATGATAGTTATATGGTGAGAAAAAATGGCAGCAAGTTACACATCTCTACTGAGGCTAGCAGCTGATACTTCAAACCTAAATGTAATCAAACAAAAAGAACACATATCTGGGGACCAGCAGAGGGCTGGTTTAAAAAAAACAAAAACAAAAAACTGAGGTTAAAAAAAAAAGATTAAAAGAAAGGAAAAAATTTATAAAAAATGTGATAGCCTAGAATTAAAAAAAAAAGAAAAATATTTCAAGAATGAGGGATACAAAAATCAAGTAAGATAAAAGATACGGAGGCATCCACTGGATTTGAAATTATGGAGATCTTCAGTGACCACAGCAATAGCAGTTTCAGAAAAGCAGTGAGACATGAAGCAGCACTGAAGACTGAACTAGAGTTGAGTGAGTAGGAATGGGGGCAATGCAAATTTCCAAGAAGATTAGCTGTGCCTTAGGGCAGGACAGAGTTATTAGTCAAGGAAAAACAACAGCTGTAATATTAAAAGTCAATAAATTACAGTAAACAAAACAATGTGATACTGGCATAAAACAGGTATGTAGACCAATGAGTAGAGAGCCCAGAAACAAACCATTGAATACATGATCAAATGACTTTCAACACAGGGGCCAAGATCATGTAATGAGGAAGGACAGTGTTTCAAGAAAAGGTAAGAAAATGGGATGTTTGCATGCAAAAGGGTGGATCCCTTACCTTACGTTCTATATAAAAATTAACTCAAAATGGATCAAAGACCTAAACATAAGACCTAAAACTATAAAACTTCTAGAAGAAAAGATAGGGGAAAAGCTTCATGATACTGAATTTGGTTGTGATTTCTTGGATATGATACCAAAGGCACAGGTAACAAAAGGAGAAAATAGACACACTGGATTTCCTAAAAATTAACAACTTGTGTGCATCAAAAGACAGTATTAACAGAGTAAAAAGGCAACTCACAGAATGAGAGAAAATTTAGCAAATCATTTATATGATAAGGGATTGATATCTAGAATATATAAACAACTATTAAAACTCAACAACAACAACAACAAAACCTAATTCAAAACTGGGTAAAAAACATGAAAAGACATTTCTCTAAAGATCTACAAATGGCCAACAAGCACATGAAACTACTCATCAGGAAATCAACTTCACTAATTAGGAAATCAATAATCAGTGACACTAATCATCACAGATATACAAATCAAAACCACAGTGACATCACCTCACATCCATTAGGATGGCTACTAGCAAAAAAATAGGAAAATAACAAGTGTTGCCACGGATGTGGAGAAACTAGAATTCTTTTGCACTGCTGATGGGAATGTAACATAATACAGCAATTGTGTAAAATAATATGATGGTTCCTCAAAAAATTAAAAATAGAAATAGCTTCTGATCCAGCAATTTCATTTCTGGGTATATACTCTAAAGAAATGAAAGTAGTGTCTCAAAGACATATCTATATACCCATCCACGTTCCCAGCATCATTACTCACAGTAGCTAAAACATGGAAGCAATACAACTATTAACGGAAGAATGGATAAGTAAAATGTGGTGGTGTGTGTATGGGTATATATAGTGTGTGTGTATGTGTGCACATGTACATACATGCACAATAGAATATCAGCTCCAGAAAGGAAAAAATTTGACATATGCTACTACATGGATAAACCTTGAGCACATTCTGATAAGTGAAATAAGCCAGTCGTAAAAAGACAAATACTGTATGATTCCACTTCCATGAGGTAAGAGTACCTAAAAAATTGTAGAGTTAGGAAATGAAATGGTGGTTGCTAGGGTGGTGAGAGGGGGAAAAGTGTTTCAGTTTTGTAAGATGAAAAGTGATCTGGAGAAGGATGGTGGTGATAGATGCCCAACAATGTGAAAATCACTGAGCTTTATACTTAAAAATGGTTCTGACAGTAAAATTTATATGTTTATTTTACCACAATACAAAAGAATTGAAACAATATGCAAATAGATTACGATTTTATAACCTTGGACCTTACATAGGAATGAAAAACAAACCCTAAATGTCTTCCATAAAAACATAAAACTCACATGACAACCATAACAAATAAGGTATGTTTTAAAACCTTGGGGCTACAAAGGTGGCACATCTTTGGTAATGAGTTTCCTATCCCTGGTCTGGGTATTAAAACATTTAAAAATATGGCTTCCTTCCTCCTTGAAAATAATGACTGGCCAGGTCAGGTGCAGTGGTTCATGCCTGCAATCCCAGCACTTTGGGAGGCTGAGACAGGCAGATCAGGAGGTCAAGAGATCAAGACCATCCTGGCCAACGTGGTGAAACCCGGTCTCCACTAAAAATACAGAAATTATCTGGGCATGGTGGCACGCACTTGTAGTCCCAGCTACTTGGGAGGCTAAGGCAGAAGAATCGCTTGAACTTGGGAGGCAGAGGTTGCAGTGAGCAGAAGAGAGCGACATTGCACTCTAGCCTGGTGACAGATTAAGACTCTGTCTCAAAAAAAAAAAAGACAAGACTGGCCAAGACAACACATTTTTAATGTGTTACTACTGTATTGGCGGAAAGAAGTGCTAATGTTATATTATAGTCAATTCCACTACTATTGCCTTGGAAAGGGCTGGCCCTAGAGATTGTCCCTTTCTTTTATTCAGAAATGACCAGTGCATCAAAAAGAGAATCTTACCACCACCTCTGATGTTCGACCATAATGCTGAAAGATATCTTTCTAGGGTAATTCTTCAAAACCCACATGGCTCTATGGTGGCCAGCAACTAAGGTAATTGAGAACTATGTGTTCATTCTTCAATTATCTTGGCTTTTTTGACATAGATAATACCTCTTCCAAGGTAAGAGATCCCAATTTCAATTTTGTTTTATTCTTTGTATGTGTCCTACAGTCAGTTCTCATAATTATTTTCTTAATTGGAAAAACATTTAGGGAGAGAATTTACTCTGTACATAACACAGAGAATGTTCTTCCCGTTTCTCTTGGAAAATTCAACCAGATGCATAAATTATGTAATTATCAGCGTTATATTGTTTTCAAAATTATCTGTAGCTTACCTACTCTTTTCCCTGCTGCTGCATTATTTCCATTCATTCCAATACCATGGGTAGACTACAATTAAAACACAAAACATCTACAGAGGTGAGTCAATGAAGAATAAAAATAATCAACAAACATAAAATACTTGTAACTTATCACTAAGATGTTGTTGGACTTTCATTTTAAATTATTTAATCCAATTGTTTAATTAAATTAATTCCGATCCTAATTCCACATCTAGCAATATTGTGCTTATTATTTAAGAGGGTAAAATTTGCTGGGTGTAGTGACTCATGCCTCCCCCTTTGGGAGGCTGAGGTGAGAGGATCACCTGAACCTGGGACATCGAGCTGCAGTGAGCTGTGATTGCGCCACTGTGCTCCAGGAGTTTGAGAATAACCTGGGCAACATGCTGAAACCCCATCTCTACAAAGAATACAAAAGTTAGCCAGGCATGGTGACATGTATCTGTAGTCCCAGCTACTGGGGAGGCTGAGGTGGAAGGATTGCTTGATCCTGTGAGGTCAAGGCTGCAGTGAGCCATGATTGTGCCACTGCACTCCAGCCTGGGTGACAGAATGAAACCCTGGCTCACACACACACCAAAAAAGCGAGCGAGAGAGAGAAAGTAAAATTTGCTGACTCAAATGAAAAGTTCTTACTTGGGATGGAAAAAACATTAAAAATATTTAGTATTTAAAAATACATATTGCTAGGTGCATTGACATGTACCTATATTCCCAGCTACTCAGGAGACTGAGGCAGGAGGATTGCTTGAGCCCAGGAGTTCAAGGCCAACCTGAGCAACACATACATACATAGATATCTGATAAACTGTTTACATGAACTTATTTTCAAATTACTGTTCTCAGTTCAGGATTAAACCAGCATTCAAAATTCAACCATCAAGAAGATTTTCTACAAACTAAATAAACATTTTCAGATAAACTTATAAAAATAATCAAATCTTAGCCTTCCTTATTTATGTAAACAGAAACTAAATTTTAAATATGTTGGATCACTACAAGGATAACTATTAGAGCATGTTGAAAGGAAAATACTTACGAAAAAAAATTCTGTATGTTCTAACTGGGGAGAACTTTTCCTAAGGTTTTCTTCCTGAAAATGCTGGAGGTTTGTAGACAGCCCAATTCCAGGGGTCCGAAGCCTGCCTGCTCCACGTGTACTCTGGAAACTATCTCTGCTTGTGCTCCGGGCCAGTGAAGCAAGAAAACTGATATTATTTACACAACCAACAGGCTCTTTGGAAGCCTTGTTAACCATTTCTGTGATATCCCGAGCCTCAACTTTGGAAATAACGTCAGATCTCTTCCCAGGTGAATCAACTTTAACACCTAGAAAGCGAGTAGTCGCAGAGAAAGAAGAATCAGTTATGTTTCGAACATCCAGTGACTGGAACACATTTTGAGAAGACGACTGTAGTTTCCCAGACTCAAAACATTTGGACTGTCTCTGTGGTTTCACCAGAGAATTATGTAGCGACCTTGGTGCAGAACAGTGAAGAGGTGACAAGAGTCTGTTCTTGTGAGGACTTAATTCTCGGTAGTTAAGAACTGAAGCCTCTACAGATTCCCCATTCAGCACTCTTGCAACATGCTTGAGATGCTGCTCAGGAGCTTTCAACCTTTTGTCAGCATTAGTGAGTAACAACTCCGGATTCACTTTGCATGCACCCTCTAAGCCACTGTTCTGTTCATCAGCCTTTCCTTCTGCAAATGAAGCCAGTGAGCCTACTTCAGGTAGAAGTGATTCTTCGGTTACACATTCTTCTGTAGGTGGAAGTAAAACAGTGTCCTTCTTATTACTAGATGGCAAGTTTCCTACAAAGTGTTTTGTCTGCCTAGGCAGGGATGATCCAAGATGGAGAACAGAGTCAGCAAGCTCTTCGTCATTTCTCAACTCCAAGTGGGGTATCTGAGGAGGTAGTTTGACACTGCTACTGGAGGGAGACAGTGTGTTATTCTTCCAGTTATCATCTTCCTTAAGAAATTCACCAGTGATAGAAGATATGGGTCTCTCAGCAGGGAGTTGAGTTACCAAATTTGAAATTGCATTCCTGGATGTTTCAGGCAGATACGTGTTCCCAAGAGAAGGTAAACAAGATTGCCCAATGTTGGGGAGAACCCTTAACAATCGGTGGCGAGATGGTGCAGTGGAACCACTAGAAGGTCGAGGAGCTATAGGTGGGTGAGGTTTTACCTTGACAGCTTTCTTAGGCTAGAAGAAAAGAATGAATATACAATTTCTTTACACAGTCATTTTCTCTGCCTATTAACAAAAATTAGTGAAGGGAGAAAATGTTACTTACCATAACATACCGGCATTTTACTACCTCAACTTAAAATGTTTAAAAAGAATAAAATATTAAGATTAAGATTGAGAGGGCTGGGCGCGGTGGCTCACACCCGTAATCCCAGCACTTTGGGAGGCTGAGGCAGGTGGATCACGAGGTCAAGAGATTGAGGCCATCCGGGTCAACATGGTGTAACCCCGTCTCTATTAAAAATACAAAAAATTAGCTGGGCATGGTGGCGTGTGCCTGTAATCCCAGCTACTCAGGAGGCTGAGGCGGGAGAATTGCCTGAACCCAGGAGGGAGAGGTTGCTGTGAGCCGAGATCGCGCCATTGCACTCCAGCCTGGGTAACAAGAGTGAAACTCCATCACAAAAAAAAAAAAAAAAAGATTATGATTGAGAAGATATTATTTTCCTTCACTGAGTACACTTTTCTGGGAATATTAAAGAAAAATAATTTTGTCTTATTTTCCTTACTACAGTTTCTCAGAGTTTTAATAAGAAAAAAATGAGCTGATTATATTAGCTATGACATTGCTAACCTATTTTAGGTCCCCAACAATTTTTCCTAGTATACTGAATAAATGTTTCATTGGACTGGTATACAGAAAAAAAGTTATCAGCCAAAAAAAAAAAAAAGGAGTTAACAGGCCTAAACGGCTATCCTTGAAAAGACTTGCTGGCAAGGTTGGCCTTTGGCTGCCTTCTGGGAACGTCTATTTGAGGAGGTTCAGGAGGGTTCCCATGAACCTAACTGATAAAAGTGCCTTATAGTGCCAAACTGTTTATGCAATAATACAGTTCATGCTGAAGACGTGCTTTCCTTCTGGGAGTCTGAATTGTAAACGCTAGACAGAGGAACCCTACATGAAGTGGCCCAGTAAAATCCCTGGGCACAGAGTCTCTAATGAGCCTCCCTGGTAAACAACATTTCTCATGTGTTGTCACAACTCATTGACAGAGGAATAAACATGTCCCATGAGACTCCACTGAAAGAGGACTCTAGGAAGCTTATACCTGGTTTCCTCCAGATGTGGCTCCATGTACCTTTTACCTTTGCTGATTTTGCTTTGTATCTTTTTGCTGTAATAAATCTTAGCAATAAGTATAACTATATAAAACATACTATAGTCCTGTGAATCTTCCTAGCAAACCATCACATGTGGGTGGTCTTGGGGCCCTCTGGCAGAGTAGATTTTAATAAAAGTACCATAAAAATTCAAGATCTTATAAATAAAGTTGAGAGCTAAACATAAGAAATCTTAGCTCTTAAAAATAAGCACAAATGGTAGCAAGCAGGCATGAGGATGGGATGGAATATCTTATGACATACCAATGCTCCCACTTACATAAAATATTAAATATATGAAAATATAAGAAAAGCTGGATAATTCATTGGATACCAACTAAGGCTAGGAAAATTAGAGGAGCTAAGAAAGAAGAACCTTGGAAAGATGAGCTTGCTCCTATAGATGCTTTTACCCTAGAGATGGAGTTTTGCTCTTGTCACCCAGGCTGTAGTACAATGGTGCAATCTCAGCTCATTGCAACATCCTGGGTTCAAGCAATTCTCCTGCCTCAGCCTCCCAAGTAGCTGGGATTACAGTCACCCGCCACCATGCCTGGCTAATTTTTACATTTTTAGTAGAATCAGGTTTTCACCATGTTGGCCAGGCTGGTCTTGAACTCCTGACCTCAAGTCATCCACCCACCTCAGCTGGAATTTCAGGCATGAGCCACCACTCCCAGACCAATCTGCAATTCTTTATCCAGGAAAAAATTTTTCAAAAATGAAGGGTATGATTTCTGGGCTGTAGAGATTAATGACAGATGCCTAAAACTGAATTTCTCCATGCTCCAGAAAAACTACATAGATCAATAACATGCACAAATAAAATCACCTATAACCCATGCCTCAGAAAAACTGGGAGACATATAAAATGAACTTCAAAATATCCCACAATTCAAGAAACTCATCTGAGCTCAATGCCTGTGGTAAGAGACAGGCAAGAGTACAGAGCTTCAACCACAACAACAACAACAACAAAAAAAAGGAAAAAAAGAGAGTTTTGCTGGTAGAACAAAGAAAAATCCACAAAAGACAAAACCTCACTTGACTATGACGATATTAAAAATAGGTCTAAGATACGGGATATCAAACACAGGCTACTGGGAAATTAAAAGGAAGTTACTTTTTTTTTAAATGTGTATTTTTTTTGAGACAGGGTCTGACTCTGTTATCCAGGCTAGAGTACAGTGTTACAATAATGGCTCATTGCAGCCTCACCCTCCCAGGCTCAATTAATCCTCCGAGTAGTTGGGACTACAGACACATATCATCATGCCTAGCTAATTTTTGTATTTTTTATAGAGATGAGGTCTCCCTATGTTGACAGGCTGGTCACAAACTCCTGGGTTCAAGCAATCCGTTCTGGGATTATTAAGCATGAGCCACCGCACCAAGCCTTAAAGTTGCTCAAGATAAATGAGGTAGCTTCAAGAAGGCATCACTTTTGGAGGGAGAAGGGGTAAATTGAAAAAAAAAAAGGCTACCCATTGAGACCTTGATAATAAAATTAAACAAAGAAGCAAGAAAGGAAATGTAAGGATCCTATGAAAACAAAAGTGAAGCACAAATCAGAAAACACACTGACACTGCCCTCCAACAAGAGTGTCATTGATTTGGGCCAGGCGTGGTGGCTCACACCTATCATCCCAGCACTTTGGGAGGCCAAGGCGGGAAGATCGCTTGAGCTCAGGAGCTCAAGACCAGCATTGGCAACATGGCAAAAACCCATTCCTACCAAAAATACAAAAAAAATTAGCTGGACATGGTGGCAGAAGCCTGTGGTCCCAGCTACTTGGGAGGCTGAGGTGGGAGGATTGCTTGCGCTCGGGAGACAGAGGTTGTAGTGAGTCAAGGTCATGCCACTACACTCTAGCCTGTGTGACAGAGCAAGACCCCATCTCAAAAAATAAAAATAATTTTAAAAATAACAATTAAAAAAGAGTGTCATTGATTGAAAAAAACTACACCAAAGGAAGAGGGTGCTCTTGAAATCAGAAACTTACTTCCCTATCAAAATCCTTGCTTCTGTGTATTAATACATACTGTTAATACTTATCTTAGTAAAGACAATTATGGAAAATACAATCAGAAAATAGAATAGAAAAATCCATGTAAAGCTACTATAAAAATAAAACAGAAAATGAGAATCAGAACATTTTAGCTAATGAAAATTCTCCCTAAAACAATGAAACAAAAGAAAACATCACAATACCCCAACTTAAATTAAACAGCTTTAAGTTAGAATTTGCAGATATTTTTAAAAGTCTTATCAAATCATAAATTCTAAAACTCAAGGCATAATGGATTAAAAAAACAGAAAGATATGAAATGACAGCTGAGCAAACCAGAAATACTGTGCAGAAAACAAAATCATCTCAGAAATGAAGACTAAATTACAAGGTGGCCAAAGGAGACTAGAATTCTACTGAACATTTAATAAAAAGTACTGAGGCCGGGTATGGTGGCTCATGCCTGTAATCCCAGCACTTTCAGAGGCCGAGGCAAGTGGATCACCTGAGGTTAGGAGTTCGAGACCAGCTGGCCAACATGGCGAAACCTCATCTCTACTAAAAATATAAAAATTAGCTGGGTGCAATGGAAAGTGCCTGTAATCCCAGTATTCAGGAGGCTGAGGCGGGAGAATCACTTGAACCCGGGAGGCAGAGGTTGCAATGAGCTGAGATTGCACCACTGTGCTCCAGCCTGGGAGATGGAGCAAGACTCCACCTCAAAAGAAAAGAAAGAAACGAAAAGGAAAAAGAAAATGGGAAGAAAGGAAAGAAATGGTGCAAAAATCATACTATTGTACTACAGCCTGGGTGACAAGAGGGAAAATCCATCTCTAGGATTAAAAAAGGGAAAAAAAGGCAAAGAAAAAGGGAAGAAGGAAAGAAATGAAAGAAAAGAAGGAGAGGAAAGGATAGGTAAGGAAGGAAGGAAGGAAGGAGAGAAGGAAGGAAGGAAGGAAGGGAGGGAGGGAGGGAGGAAGGCAGGAAGGAAGGAAGGAAGGCAGGCAGGCAGGCAGGCAGGCAGGCAGGCCTGGTGTACTGAGTGCCAGGTTCAGTGGCTAATGTTTGTAATCCCAGCACTTTGGGAGACAAAGATGGGTGGATCATGAGGTCAAGAGATAAGACCATCCTGGCCAACATGGTGAAACCCCCATCTCTACCAAATATATAAAAATTAGCTGGGTGTGGTGGTGCACACCTGTAGTCCTAGCTACTCGGGAGGCTGAGACAGGAGAATTGCTTGAACCCAGGAGGTGGAGGTTGCAGTGAGCTGAGATAGCACTACTGTACTACAGCCTGGTGACAGACTGAGACTCTATCTCAAAAAATAAAATAAAATAAAAACATAAAGAGTACTAAGGAAAGGCATGAAAACAGCTAAGAGAATAAAAATAAAATAAATAAAAGGATAAGAGAGAAGGTGGTTGTATATTAGACAAAAAAGTTCTAAAAGGGCAGGTGTGGTGTCTCATGCCTATAATCCTAGCACTTTGGGAGGCTGAGGCAGTAAGGTCACTTGAACCCAGGAGTTCAAGGCTGCAGTACACTCAGCCATGGCACTCTAGCCTGGGTAACGCCGTAAGACCCTGTCTCTAAAACAGGAAGAAGAAGAAGGAAGAAGAAAAGAAGAAGATTAAAATAAGTTCCAAAAAATAAAACAAAACAAAAACATATGAAGTACTAAAAAATTAACATATAATAAGAAATCATCCGGAAATAAAAGAAGACTTGAATCTTTATGATAAAAAGGCTCAAGAATACAGTGACAACTGACCCTGAAGATTAATTCCAAGATATATCCTAGTAAAACCATTACATTTAAAAGAAAAAAAAAATCCTCATTTT